CTTTTCACTTCTGGGGTTTGGCAGAGATGAGGCAATTGTGAAAATTAGCTTAAAACAAAGGAGAAGCATGGCACCCCCTGCTCCATTTGTTGTACTGGCACTAAATGCTTGTAAGAAGTGCAAGAGCTGCAAAGTGTATGTCCTGTCACATAAAACTGCTGCTGGACTAATTTCACAGTTACTGTAAAATGATTAATTGCACTTACCTTTGAGAGTTTTACATACTTTTCTCTAATTAAGTAGTGATTCCTCATGACCCCTGGAGTATGGTTATTCTTTTTGAATTTGGCCAAGCCTGCTGTTAAAAAGATGCACCTTGGGGTCCTGAATTCCCCAGCTCTGGTTTTAGTGGCTGTTAGTGCGATGTGGCAGCTGGTGTGCCTGTGTCTGATGGCAGATTATGACAATGCACAGAGATGAGTGGCACTGTCTCAATTATAAGAGGAATCAAACCTAGAGGAATATCCCTGTGCTAGTCGAGAAATGAGGCTCTCAAGTTTTCGTAGACATGCACGGCATTAATTCCTTTACCTTAATCCCTTGCTTACTAAGTTAATTTTGCTATTTAAATAGTTTCTGCTCTCTTGAACCATGTCAAAACACAAATCAGAACATGCTTTCAACAGCAGAAGAGCATCTTAGTCTGTTCTGTCACTGAAAGGGAAAAGTATGTGTGAAAATGAGAAATGGTGAAATAATATTAGAAGGTCTACAGTACTTCCTGAAATTTTCATATGTGAATTTTTTTTGAGGTCTTAGCAATGTTTGGGACAAAACTTAATTTGTGCAAACTGTTTGCTAATCCCTAGTCTAGACACTCACATTTCCAGTGCCTATTAACCTTTTCATCTTCATTTCTGCTTTAATGTAGCGCTTTTTTTCTTTTTTTTTTTTTTTTTTGATATCCATCAGAAAGCAGCAGTCATAAGGAGCTGGACTCTTCCACTAGGCTCTTCTGCTCCCCTAACTTGCACTTGTATTTCCAGCCCCAAGCATGGGGATGCAGGCTGTGTAACTACATCAAGGACCTACGGGATTGAACTGTCCTGTTGGTATGGTAAAAGTCTTGACTCTGCACTCAGCTGTACATAATGTGCCTTTAATATGCTAAAGCTAATATCTGCTTATATTGACTACTTCCTGAAGTGAGAGATGTTAAGGTAAGGAGACAGGAAAGAGGAGGGTAGACATTAGTCTGCCTTTCTGACAGGGTTTGGCAGGGTTTCCTAGAGAACCTGTGCTGTTCCTGTCAAGTACCATTTGATTTCACAGCAGTAAACGTCCTGTAGTGCAACATCTATGTTCTAGGAATATAATCTGATAAAGCAAGTCAGTCCTTAAAGATAAGCTTTATATTTGCTTTGTCAGCCTAGTTCATCACTGTCTAGGCTGCACTCAGGATTGTGTTTGCTCTGCTTTTTTAATCTGACTTTTCTGTCATGTGGTTTGTAATAAGCTGTAATGTCTAGGGCATTTCTGAGGAGTTTCTACTGTGCTGTCTCTGCCATATTTTTTGTCAGCACAGACTTGGTGAACTGTAAAGGTCTGCAGTGCCCTTATTGAATTGCTTTTACTGTTTTCAGACGTATTTTCTATGTGTTGAAATAATTTGAATTCCAATCCTGTTAACTAATGTGTCAGGCATTTTTTCTGGATTTCCTATGGATTTGACAAACTTACTGTATCTGAATCCAAGGTATTTATGAAAATACTGAATAGTGCTGGATCTGGAACAAACCCCTAAGTCCTGCTCTTACCCCTGTGCTCTGACAGTGAACAGCTAATAATTGTGCTCTGTCAGTAGCTTTCCAACCACTTTCACCCATTCTGCAGTAGTTTCACCCAGACTATTACTTTTCTAGCTTGCTAATGACAACATCTTAACAGCCCCTACCAAAAACATTATCAATGTCATGATGTATCTGTCTCCTTCTTCTCCATACCCTTGAGCCTGATTACTCCATCACAGAAGAAAATTAGTCTGGTCTGACATGACTAGGTTTTGACAAATCTCAGTTAGCTCCAATTTATTACCTTGTTATCTTCTTGGTGCTCATAGATGGATGTTTGGTTACTTGTTATTATCTATCGATTAGCTGCTTTTCTGGAAGCTGAAGTCAGGCCCTCCTAGCTATCATCCTCTGAATCCTCCCTTTTCCCATTTGCAGAGAGCACAAAGAGATACTGTCTGAGATAAAACTGCAAGTGGGACTTAACTCTTAACTGACAATCATTTCCTGGCTCTTTTACCACTTTTTGATATATAAGTAATGTGAGAACCATACTATCTAGAAGAATTACCCCTGAGAGTTCAAGTTTAAATATGTCATGGCTTTTAGGGCAATAAAGGGCCTTCCTGTCCCTGCCCACTCCCCAGGACTGGGAGGAGTCTCCCCAGGGTCTCACAGCCCCTGCCCCAGCAATGCTGCAGCGGGGCTGGTCTCCAGCTCCCAACAGCCCTGCCCTGCCAAGGTGGGCCCTCATCCTGTCCTTCCCCAGAGAGGTATGGGGATTCCTTGGGGTGGGGCTGTCCTGGTGCCCACTTCTGGCTGGGGTGTGGGACTGTCCCTGGCTGCCAGACCCTGCTCTCCACTATAGGGATACCCAACCCTCGCACTGTCCTGGGAAAAATGTCTCCTGAAGATATGTTGTCATTTCCAGTGTTTTCTAGTATGTTCCAGGCAACATAAACCAAAACCAGCTGTTGCTTTTGGGGGACTTGGAGGGGCAAGAGAGAAATATCAAAGGGTAAGTGAGTGATTGCAAAGTATTTAAAGGTGTGTGATAAGCTGGGCATTTGCTTCAAATCAGCATTGTTTTCTAGGGCAAAAGGAAAAAGAGAAATGGAAGCTGAGTTCAGCAAAACTCCTTGTATGATTTAATGAAAGAAAGCATTTCAGTTTTTAGAGGCATGAAAGTAATTATTTTCTCATCATACTGAAAATGTAAATTCAAGGAAGATTCTAGGCAGCAGGCTGTGCAACCAGCCATAAAAGTAGCCAAGATGTTCCTGTAAGCCAGGGCCATGCCCAGGTGATGTGGTAGTGGCTGCAAGGGGCAAAGGGGGATGACAGCTGCATCCCTGGAGAAGGGGTGACAGAGCAGGACACTCTCTGCCTGGAGGAGCAGAGCAGAGGCAGACTCACCCACTGGACTCTGCCAATGTCTGTCCTGCACAAGGGCAGATCCATAAACATTGGCTTGGTTGTGCAGTGGCTGAAGGAATTTCTCAGTGTTGAAAACAATAGCTTTTTTTTCCCATGAAAATGTTTGCCTCATTCTTGTTTGGTGAGAAAGGGAAACCTGAGCATTAGGCTAATTTTGGCTGTATTAGGTATAATTTTATGGGCCTCCTTAATTTTTTTTTTTTTCCCCTGACTTAATTAATCTTCTCTCCAGATGGAATAGTCCTAACCTCTAATGTTTCTTCATCCTCCAGTAGCTTCCTTCCGGACACAGGTTTGACAGAGCTTGTGCTCTGGCCAAGGCTGCTGGGCTGTCACTGATTCCATAACTGCTCGTGATGGTTTCAGTTTTCTGTGTCCCATTTGCAGTGCACTCAATTTGCCACATTTCCCATCTCAGCAGACTGAGTGCCGGGTTTCATTTGAGCTGTCCACAGGGATGCTCAGATTTGTAGCCTGAGTGGTCACGGTTCATTTGAAATCCATCAATGTACATGAGTAGTTCAATTTATTTTTTCTAATGTTCATTGTCTTGCCCTTCTTTATGCTGAATTTCATTTGCCATCATCTTATCTGACTGTCTGGTTTTCCTAGGGCTGTCTGCACTGAAGGGTAGCCCTTGTCAGAGAAAGTTGCAGAGATGAATGTTCTTCTAAGCACTCTCCTGCTTCATGAGTTTGCTGTGGTGTTGGGTCTCTTGAATTCTTTCCCAGGCCACTAGGATGGCTCAACCAACTTGCTGTGTGATACTGGGGACTATTCTCTGGTCTCTTGCCCTCTGTAACTCCTAAAAGGAGACCTTTAGCAGAGGGAGGAACGTGATCAAGCCTAGTAGTAGAGAGCATCCAAGCTATTTTACATAGAAGGATCTCAAGATCTGAGGATTATCTGGTGCTTTGAATGAGATGTGTAGGTGCAAGTATCTGCCTCTTGCAGCAGTTTTAGAGAGCTCTAGCATTCCCTTGCAAGGCTGGGAGTATTTTGTCTTCATGATTTAGTCTATCAAACAGCTACCACAGAAAATTTGTTAAACTTTTTATAGTATAAACAGTCTTGATTGCTTTATAAGCAAGTATTTTAGAGTTTGTAGGTTGTTTCCAAACAGAGTCAGGTACCTAAGAGAGGGCCAGGGCTGTGCCTGTCCGCTCTCCTGATGACCCTAGTGAATGGTTTTCAGGTGCTGATATTGGATTGACTCTGTGATTTAGGAAAGTTAGAGGAAAATTAGGAGAGGCAAGGAACAGCCCTGGTCTTTTTTAACTCTTGGGTGGTGCTGGGGACAGTCATGGGCAGCTTTTAACTGTATCAAGGAGATCTGTGAGACTGGGCAAGTCTGAGCAAGGCACAGCAGGGAACCTATTAAACCAGGTGCCTCTCTGTTTGTGTGCAGCAGTGATTGTTGGAAGGCTGAAACTGCATTTCCTCGAAATATGGTGTCTCAGCCACCTTGGCTGGAGACTGCTCTCAGACATTCATTGCCTGGAAGGGTTTCCAAATGCCTGCAGTCTCACACATTCTGTGTAACAGGTGCTAAAGGGAATTTGGCTCTGCCTGTGCTATCAGGAACAGCAGCTTTCATCCCAAGCTCCGTCAGTAAGGATAGTGAAACCTGCAATTTTCCTCAGAGATGGCAATTTTAACACCCTGTCTGTGAAGGCTCTTGCTTTCCTTTCCAAGCTCTTGCTATCCTGCCTATCCTGCCTTCACCTGTACCTGAGCAACTTCCAGATGTGTGGCAATGTCTGAACTTTCTACCTCTGTTTAAACATGGGCGGGCTGCTCTCCCTGATGCTCTGATGCTTGTCTCTGCTCTAGATGACGAGGGCTCCCCCGGGAGAGAAGAGCAGCCGGCGGAGTTTTGACGAGAAGGCTTACTTGTCCTCCAAGGTGCTGAAGGCTGGAGAAGACCCCTACCGCCAGCACGCTTTTAACCAGCTGGAGAGTGACAAACTCAGCAGCGACCGACCCATCCGGGACACCAGGCACTACAGGTACCCTGCAGCCCTGCTCCGAGCCGTGCTGCTGCTTCGTGCAGGGAGCCTGCTGCTCTCTGCTGTGGGTCTGTAATGTTGGCGATGCATGTTTTGGGTTTTTCTTTGCCAGCTATGGTCCACTGTTGCGCTGAATTTCATGGTTCAGCTGCAAAGGTCTCAAATGCTTGGAGGGCCTTGACAAATTCAGACCCAGCTTGAGACTTTTCTAACACATCTTTTTCCAGGTCCAAGCATCATCTTGTTTTAGCACAGCCCCTCCGCTGCAGCTCAGATTGCTCATTGGACAGTTGTGTTTTGCCTAACTGCCCCACACTCGTGGCTTCCCTCAGCATCCTTCTGTACTGTCTGCAAAGTACACCTTAGTTGCAGCCTTGCTTTACTCTGGTGTTCCTCACCTGCTGTGCCCTGGCTGTCTGAAGCTGCTTTGGTGCTTCTTTGCATCCTAAATGTCAGGGTGGGGTAGGGATGAAACTAACAGTGTTCTGTGGCTTGCAAAGTGCTTGTCATTCTGTCCTTGTTTCACTGAGGGTGTATTTATTCTGCTGAAAAAAATTGTCCTTAAATTGCTAATAGCGCTTGGATAACTATTTTGTAGTTTCTGGAGGACAAAAAGGTAATTTAGTACAAAAAGATTTTTGAAAACTGTAGGTTTAATAGTAATAGGATAGTGTAGAATAGTCTACTTCTGTCCTAGACTCTACCTAGTATTGTGGTAGCGGGCCCTGCTGGGTAATAATGAGTATTGACTTTATGATTGTAGAATGTTGATTAAATGCTTTATTAAGCTATGCTATACTATATTATACTATTAAGAGAAACCCATTGCTCTTGCCAGACAGTCTGATACACATATGGATTTAATTGGTTAATTAATTAAAACATTATCACCAAAGTCTAATTAAGAAATCTCTCTTTAGTAAATAATCTCTATAACATGTTTCACATGTGCACAACAACAAGTGTAGTAAATGAAAATAAGAATTGTTTTCATACCTTTCTCTGTTCAGAAAACATGTAATTACCACAGCCTAGACCTATGTATGGTTCTAGGTATGATATGGTTTCAAAGCAACATTTCACAGTTGCTGGAAGCAGGAAACCAGGCATCTAACTTGACTGAAATTGTGAAAGGGATGCCAGGAGACATGGAGCTTTGTGAGCCTGCCAGCACTGACAGCCCTCAGAGTGTTTTTCAAAGGCAAGCAGTCATGACCATGGTTGTGGGATCCAAGTCTTGTGCTGCTGTTCTCCAGCATAGTATTTGGTACTGGCTTTTTGGTGACCCAGAGGCAATGGTGCCATGTTCTGTGTTGCTGACAAGTCTCCGGCAATGCAGAATTTATGTTTTCTGTTAATCTGCTGTCGTGTTCTGGCCTAAAACCAGCTCACTTCAAAGATAAATTATCATTTATTTTGATCTGTGATAGCATGTCGAGCATGCTTTTTGTGAAGAGCCTCATCTGTGCACTTCAGTCAGAAAAGCAAAATATATGTGATTCCCTGCAAATATATAGCCATTTCAGACCCAGCTTTTCAAGGATTCTCTTGAGTAATGGATGGTCCAAAGTAGTATATAATCAGAATAAATAAACCTATTTCCATGTTTCTCCCCTTTACAGGGAACAATTTGGGAATGAGCAATCTGTGTTTGACTATCTTATGTTATGACAATATTGGAATAGTTGCTGAGATGGCAATTCAGGATGAGGACTTATTTCAGCTGATACAAGTTAGATTGTGAACTTGGCTCTGTTTAAGGAATGGAGGGGGTCTTTATGTCACTAACATATCAATTTTTCTTCAGGCACCCAAGCCAGAGCATGGACTTGCTTGACTTTACATCCTACAAGCTCCTTCTGACTTAGCATGCATCTGTTTCTTTGATCCAAAGCAAAGACACGGTCAACTTTTAAGCACAAACCTTGTCCTTGTTCTCTGTGATGCTGTAGTAATGCTGAAATACTGGGAAAACTTCCCCAAATAACCCATAAATCAGCGTCTTCTGCTTTTCCACTTCCTGATTCCTTAGTACATTTTGTATGCATTACATGGAGTTATTTTGAAACAATAATAAATATAGTCTCTCTTAGGTCTGTTCTCATATTGTCCACTTTAGTCTTTATCAGGTTTCTCTATATGTTTGAAAATTGCTGTATGAAGCTGCTGTCCCCTTAATAAAACACTGCAATGAAAAAGTCATAAACCAGTAGGATTGAAAGTGAAAAAACCAGTCACAGTTTAGCAATAGTCATAAAAGAATAGTAAGTAAATGTGGAAGTACAAGTAGTGAGTCTGAGAAGTGAATTGTATTCCCTGTCTCCTGATGGAGATTCAGTCTATGCAAAGCCTTGAGTTGTTAGAAGTAGGTGTGGTTTCTTCATCAGACAGGAGATTGGAGCACACTGACTGCAGTTTGACACCATCTGGAAGTTAAGAAAGCAGATGCTTTGGAGGAGCAGGTCAACCCAAATCAGCTGTGCTTAGCATCTGCCAGAATTGGATTCAGGATTCATGTCTGTGAGTTGTTCCCCTCACAGAAACTTGACTCTCCACAGGGAGAAGCAGCCTGGTGCAAGTTAGTCCTTGGTTCTGAGTGTGAGAATGTGTGTATGTACCTAACATTACAAAGTCAGATGAGAAGATAGAAAGAATTGCTCTTCATTGCCAGTGGGTCCATTAGTGTTGAGCCTCAGCAACTCCCCAACACAGATCACAGAACTAGCTGGTGTTTTTCTTTCTGTGAAGTTTGTGTCCACAGAATTTGAAGTGCTTTATACAGCAGTGCTTGGGTGTACCAGCTCCATGCATCCTTAGCATGTCCATGTCCTGTGCATGAATAAACAAAATTTTATGTGAATCACAGGTAAATCCAGGGACTATGACTGAAAGCCAGGGAATCCATGACTGAAACTGAGTTTGCTATAAAACCTACATGTCCTCCTTAGTATGCAGTTTTGTGAGTTTGGGTATCACAGCCTCCAAATGTTGCTTTTTCAATGGGCACAGTTCTTTTTAAGCTCTGCCAGCCTTGGTGCAGCCCAACTGTGCTGGTTCTGATTTTAGCATATTACTCTTCTTTTAGAAATTGCAGGTACACTGTTGCAGTGCTACTGCTAGGTAATGTTTGGCTTACACTTCTGCTCTCCTGTGCTGCAGGTGCACTTCTGTACGCTATGACACTGACTTGCCAGCCACCAGTGTCATCATCACCTTCCACAACGAGGCGCGATCTACCCTGCTCCGCACGGTGAAGAGGTGAGTTCAGCTGGGCTGCCAGGCCTGCATGGTGGAGTCTGGGAGTGCTCTGGGGGAAAATTATCCATTTTGCTGCAGCTAGACAAGTAGGGTGGCTGCAGTTCCCCAAGTGGTAGCGTTCTGCTCTCAAGATGGCCCACTAGGACGGGCCATCCAGAGGCTTGGATTGGCATTGTGGGCATATCTTCAAATGCAGAATGCATTCGCAGTTGGCCACTGTATGGCTCCAGCTGGGGGAATCTGAGCAGCAAGAAAGGGTAGCTGGGCCTGCATCCACAGGTGAGAACAGTCTCAAGTCTCACCCAAGCGTGAGCTTGGTTTGGAAGAGTGAGGGGGGACTAAAGAGAACACTGTGTTGCTAGGTGCAGCGACCCAGCCCTTGCTCACGGTCCCTTGCTGGTAATCAGTGGCTGAACCTGATGCCCCACTAGGTGTCCCCTGGGCCTTGCACAGCTCCTGCTGAGCCTGCAGGACACTTGCCATCTTGTACCAGTGTCTCCTCATATCTGAGGAGATATGTACCAGTGTCTCCTCATATCAGCAGTGGCCAAATCTAGCTAAGTAAATAGATGGCATAGGGCCTGTAGCAACCCCAAATAGATGGAGGTTTGCAGTCATCTGTACCACAAAGCAATGTTCCAGCTGCTCCTTCACTGCCCTCTTCCATCACCCCCACAGAGCCCAGGGAGGCTCTTTTCCTTTTAGTTCCCATAGAAAAAAATGCCCTCTGACTTATTAAGTAATTTCTCAAAGGGTCTCTGAAGCCTGCAAGCAGGCCCAGGAACAGCCATTGAGGCTGAAGGGAGTGTGAATTGTCAGTGTAGCAGTTTGAGCTGATGGTATCACTAACAGGAATGCATTATTCATCATTGCCACTTCTTCCTTTGACAGGTCCTGTGGACCTAAGAAATGTGCTATATGAATAAAGAACAGGTTTTTTCAAATTGGCTTCCTGTCTAGAAGGCCAGGTTTCTGCCACCAAGTTTGGTGCTATTGTGTTTCCAGAGACCTGTATATATTGCATTGACATGTTATGTCTTTTTATTTCTATCATTTTCTTTTCATGTGACCTATACAATGAATTCTGCAGAGTCACTGTCCAGAAAATGGGCAGACTTGTTTGGAATCATGGTGCTGCTAGGGTAGCTGGAGGAGATTTCTGCCTTTTCAGTCATAGGTCAGACAGTAAATAGATGCTGAGAAACCATGATAGTATGTCCTCCTTTTTCTTGTCCTGGAAAGCCCAGAACTGGACACAGCACTTAAAATGTGATATTACCAGTCTCTCAAATGTGGTCTCCTGCAACCAGAGCCCCCAACCAAGGCCTTAAAAATGGGTGACCCATCTATTCAGATTGGTACCTGCAATGCTGCTGCCCCTGGAGGACTGCTGTTGTGAGGAACTGGCTGCACTCTGCTGTGAATGGTGTGGTGGATGGAATTTCCTCCCAGACCTCTGGCTACAGCTGGGGTCTTCATTGCCAGATGGTTTACTGTCAGTGCATGCAATGGATTTACTCCTTCCTTAAATCACATCAGAAGTGTCAATAATTTATCCCTGTGTCATGAGAGATCCTGAAGGCTGAGTCTTCTTTGGGCTCTACAGTATCTGCAGTGCCACACAAGCAAGCATTGGCTAGTAGCCTTGTCTTTGAGCACTGAAGGTTTGACAACCATGCATGGAGGTAAAGGTTCACGTCATGGCTGCACTGCCAGAAGAGGCATAGGCATAAGTCTGGCTTAGAGGTTGACACTGATGTTATAGAGAGATTTGACAGAGCTCTTCAGGGCCTCTTCTGTAACCCGAGAGCCCCATCTTTCACCAAAACTCATCTGAATGTGCCAGGCTGAATTACTGCTGTGAGGGTAATTGTTGTTCAAGTCACACACACAGTCAGTGCACCAGTACTATGTAATTACTTTGCATCCCTGGCACTTTGGGATAAGTGAAGTATCAAAGGGACAGGACTGTTCTGTTCTGTTGGGTTTATGACCTGGCTGTGAGTCTGCTGAGGACCACAGTAATATTAAGCAGCAGGAAGCATAAAATTGCACTGCCTGCTTACCTGCTGACTAGTCAGGCTTGCAGTTTGTCATTATTTCTATATCTGCAAGAGCTTTCTTAGACCAGGTAGAGCATGATTATTTGGATAATTAGAATGAACCATTTGAGATGCATCTGGAAATATGATTCCACTGTTATTATGGGCCTTTTCCCAAGTTCAGTTATCATGATTAGACTGTGGGAATGCTATAAGAGAAATGGGTATGAAGGAGGAAAACTGATGAAAATGAGCAGCACTAAAAGCAAAATTTTCTATGTCTGAAAACATTTTTAGAGGCCTAATCTTTTGAGGTGAGTAGAAAATGTATTACCAGTTGAAATTTTCATACGTGAGGTCTTTGCAATTGTGGCTTTTGACTATCTGAATCTGGGCACTCAAAAACCAGCCATAAGACTTCTGGAAATTCTAGAATGAAATACATGAAAAGGGTACTGTGATTGAGCTGATCTTAAACCCAGGGGGAGCCCAAGTGCACTTCCCTGAGCCAGATACTGGCTTATTGCAAGGTAATTCAACAAAGTGACGATGCTGGTACCAAAAGATCTTGGGAAGTGACCCAGGGATGATAATCCTGCAGCACAGGCTTATTTCAGGGTGATCTAAACCTAGCAGCTCTAAGGGCCAGGTCCTGATCTGCATACCCTTCTTGCTAACCTCACATGCACATGTGAACACATGGACTTAAATGCCTCTGGCAGCTCAGCTGTTGCCTTCTTCTCCCTCCTGTCTCTGGGATCTCTGCTGCTGGGTGGAAGCAACAGGAATGATGTGCTGTTGTTGCTCCTTGAAGTTGGGAGAAATGTTTGTGGGAGAGGGGGAAAGAGAGGAGTGACCTTGAAGAGGAATAACATATTCCCTCAAGCACCCTGTTGCTTATCCCTCCTGCTCTTCAGAGACAGCATGGGCTGCATACCTGCCTTCTAGTGTGGACTCCAGCCATATGTTTTCAGTGTAGAGGGAGACAGCTAGTTAAAAATATCCAGCAAGAGTCTAAAGAAGGGGAATAGGGGAAAAAATGGGAAATGGGCTGTCAGACAAAACCTATGAACATGCCAGTTCAAATGGCTTGTTGCTGGCATCCTCAGTCCTGCAGATGTGTGTCAGTCAAGAGCTGCTTGCCTGCTTTGATCTCTTTTCTTTGTTAGGAAATAGCTGTCATTCTCAAATCAGTCACTTGCTTGGCATCCTGTTGTCCTTCAGAAACAATTGTCACTCAAAAGGCATTTTATGTGATTGATGTCTATGCATGATTAATCTTGAAGCCATACCTTCACTCTGCTGCTGTGACCATTCTTGCAGAACAAAAAGGTCAAGTGCTTTGTTGTTTGGTCCCTCTCTTTCTGATCTCAGGAAGTCATGATTGCAGGGACCTTTTGGTTTTGGTGCAAATCTAAAGGTGAATTGTGAAGCTCTAGGTCACTGGATTTGAACAGCTGTCAGTGGTTCAGTGCCTATGCAGAGGGCCTGTGAAAATTCTGATTAAGAGGATGCTGTTGTAATGCTGGAGTATTTGGTGTAGCATCTCATTACAATGACAATTTAAATAATGGCAAAAAATAACATTATGTTAGAGCAAAGGGAAAAAATATACTCTTCTGCTAACATCCAGAATAAACAAGATTATCTGGGAACTTAGGAGGGGATGGATAGAGGAGAGGAACTCATTGGCAGTGCTGATGTCACGTTCATGCAAGAGAGTAAGGACTCTGATACTGAAAGAAGAAGGAAGCTGTGAGAAAAGGCAAAGGAGATAGGGAAGCCATGAGATGAGGGGGGAACAGTCCATGTTTCTGCTGTAAAAGGCAATCGTCACTTGAATTTTGGAATTCTAATAATACATTTTTGTGCCTGAAAGTGTTTGTCATGACATTCTCTGCGCCTCAGTGAGGGGAGATATTAGGATTATTGTGCTCCTTGTTAAAAAGACAGGGGTGACAAAGTGCAAAGAAGATTAAGTACCTTTCCCAAGGATCTACAGCAAGCTATTGCAGAGCTGAGAGAAGAACAGGGCACTGTACAATGAGCTGTGAACTCCTCAAGGGATGTGTTCTTTCTAATGGGGAATCACTGGACAGGTAAAGAACAGAGAGCAAAATGGGGCTTTTTTCCCCAGTTATGTGGGGTTGAAAGACCTGAAACTTGTGGAGAAAATGTGTGCATTGCCCATAGTCAAGCTAGTAGAAGAAGGTGTAGAATACCATTTTGCAGCCATTATATTGCAGTTTGTCTGGGTTGTTTTGCATCGTGTTTGCACAGACAAGAATTTCAGTGCAGGGCAACCTTGTCTGTAAAATATGCAGATGGTGGTGGTGCTGGGAGAAGCTGCACTTAGAATGGCACAGGAACATCCCCCCACCTCCCACCCCACCATACTAGAGGATCCAGAGAGACATGAGCCAAGAGAAGTAAATGAGATTCAGCTTTGGAAAATGCAAGCTCAGTCATCTAGGGACATGTCAGCTCAAAATACAAATACTATGAGAGGTGTATAAAGCAATGTGAATCTGAAATAGAGTGGGATGTGATACTGAGCAGCAGAACAGTCAGAATTTTGCTTTTTTGCAGAAAGCAGAAACCTCTTCCAAACTGAGGGAACTTTCGCTCTGTGTGCAAAGCTATCAGTGGTGTTACTTAAAAAGATGGCACCTTCATTCCTGGGAGTATGGGACTATTCCTGTTGTCTATTTCCAATATCAAACTACAAAAACAATAAAATCCAAAAGAGAAAAAAACCCAGAAATTTTTCTCCAGTATTGCTCAAAAGAGCAGGTGCCACTGAAATGAAACAGGTTGCTAGAACTAGGAGGGCAGTGTTTGCCTCTGCTTTTAGTATTAAAATTTGCATAACTGCCATCTTCATTGGACTGCTTAAGCATCACTGAGCAACCTTGTTGAAGGTAATGAGGACCTGCCTGTGCACAGAGGTGTTGAAGGAGGCTTGGAGGGGGAATATGCTGTGTGACGGTAGTAAAGCAAGAGAAAGATTTGAAGAAGTTCATGGAAAAAGAGTTCAAGCATTTTAAATGAATGAGACTGGTAAAGAGGTCAGAACGGAACTGCTCAGACTCCAAAGTACCAGAATGCTTTGACATCTGAGGAGGGCAGAAGCTTTTCTCTGCTTTCCTCATGTGTGTCCTGCAGATGCAAACCCCTTGCAGACCCGAGGGTATTACATGGTGTGGTGCAACCAACCTGAGGAAAGGGGGTGCTTTCAGCAAGTGTGGTGCTGGTTTGAAAGACAGACAAACAAAAGAAGGGAAAAAAATCCAAATCCAGAGTATTGACAATGCTTCCTTCCAAAGAAGGGAATCAGTAAGAAAGCCTGAGCAGGTGGCACCTGTTGCACTGAGGTGGAGGAGCTCCTTGCTGGGGAAAGTGGCAGCTCTTTATGCCCTCCAGCAGTGATGACTTTCACTCAGAGGCGGGCAGATGGGAATGGCCATTGGGCTGCCTCAGGACAGGTGGTTCTCTGCATTTCACCTCTGTTTAGGGGCAGAGCATGCTGCAGCATCCTTTTCTAGCTGCCCCAGGCAAGTCAGCTCCTGGCTGTGGGTCCTTGTAAGGCCTGGCTGAGTGCCACAGCTCTCTGGGATACTCTCACTTGTAGTTTGGTCCCACCAATGAGCACTGTTACAAGGGCAAGGTCACTGCTTCCACTTTTCTGGAGTTTGGTATTCCTGCTGTAATGCATAGCACAGGAGATTTCTATCAGTCCTAACATTGTCATTGTTATGGCAGCTCACAAAGTGGCTTTTTCTTTCCTGGGTCCCTGCAGTGTTCTGAACCGCACCCCTCCCAGTCTCATCCAGGAGATCATTTTGGTAGATGACTTCAGCTCAGATGGTAAGTTTGGACCTATTTCCTTTACACTTATTTCTTGCCTTCTGTTTTCCCGTTTTTTGTTTGCTCTGTTGAGTCCCCTTCCCTCACAGATTCCCTCTTGTCTGTATGCAGGAGAAAAAGAAAAGAAAGTAAGTCTGTGTTTCATGTCTATGCATGGCAAAGGCCAGAGCTTCCTCCTCTCTTTTTCTTTCCATTGGGTCTTCCATTTCTGTCAGTGTGGCAGTTTTTGCAGGGTTGCCAGAGATCTCTGTCATGTTTCATTATGCACCATTTGGTGAGCTGTTTAGCACAGATATATATGTAGCAATGCTCTGCATGAGCAGAGCAGGTACTTGCAGACCAAGAGGCAAGAAGAGGATGTGGTGTAGCATACAGAAAATTGCTGCCTGGGGTCCTGCAGGCAGGCTGAGGTGAGACTGGCTGTCTGCCTCCATGTGCCTGGGATCCCAGGTATCCCTGTGGGAAGCTGTGGCAGAGTTTCTGCTTTGGACAGCACCATACTTTCTTCTGCAGCTTGGCACAGGGGTGGAGTGTCTACTGCATCAGTTCCAGAGTACCAGAGCTGCAGACTGGAGGCTCTGGAGTCTTTCCCTCTGTACAGTTGCTCTTGCTCCTGTCTGTTGTGTAGTAGTAGTGAGGTGGTGGGCATAGAAGACTTCTTGCTTCTCCCCTGATGTGTTCTAGACTCAAGGACAATCTAGTTATGTACCATTTATAATGATCAATAATTACTCCTTCAGAGCACTTTACAGATAGCTGCGAGTGCCCACCTTGGCCTGCTGAGGTAAGGAAGCAATGCTATTTTGATTTTGCAGCTACTTGCTTATGTAGCTTTGGCCACAAAAAAAAAACATATTAAAGGTGGATGCTGAGATGAGGGATTTGAGTTTCTGAGGGCCTTAGAGTGTGTTTCAAATAAGTACTGAGCTGTGCTCAGCTGTTTAATTTCTGAGCACTTCCAACAAACAATCCTAAGTGTTCCACATTCTGCACCTAAAAATTTCAGTTCTTAAAGGGCAAAGTGTTCCAGATCAATAGTGATGGATTTCTGGTACCTGTTCTGCACACGGTTCAACCATAAACTCCCATTTAGGCTCCTCAGTAAACAGGAAGATTTTTAAAAGGCTCCATCCTGTCACAGCTCTTATGTTTTTCACTGGCAGCTGGCTATTTGTAGATATAGCCACTTCCCTGAGATACGTTCATGAATGCACTTCAGCACATGTTTCAGGTCTGACACTTTGCTTTCATACCTGCCTCAGTTTCTGCAAATATACTGAGAATTTGTCATCTCTGGCGAGTATCTACAGGCAGAGCCGTGTGCTCCGCTCCTGCAGAGTGAACAACTGAATAAGGATTCTCATACCTGAGCTTGTGACTTGGCCAAGATAAGAGCATTGCCTTCCCTTGTAGCAGAGTTCCAGCAAAATCTCGATGCTCTGTAATTCAGAGCACCTGCCACTTCCCTTGGATGATGCAGGATCTGCCAAAGTGCCAGTGTAAGAGCAGTATTTCAGATTGCACAGATCCTTGAGAATGGAAATGCTTGTACAGGAGTGTGCTGAGAGGTGCACTTTGGCTAAGGGCCTTTGCATCCTCCCCAGAGTGCTCAGTCTGTGGGAAGGTGACAGCAGGAAAGAGGGGGCATGAGACATGTAAAGGAATATGGAATAAACAGGGAAATTGGGGTGGATTTGATGGAGCGAGAAAAAAGAGCAAGTTAGAAATTGCTGTTCCTATGACATCTGCTAGGGCAGGAATAGAGAGGATGACAGAGAACTAACGACTCAGTGCTCACTGGTGTCTGGCTGGAGCAGGTAACTGTTCCTCTCCCTCATCTTCCCTAGGCAGTGTAAATGAGGGATGCCAGGAGTTTCTAGCAAGCTGCCAGCAAAGCCCTTGGTCAGGCAATGTGCTGGTGTCTCCAAGGAAGCAGGTTGCATCCCAGTGGCCTTTATTAAATAAAATCAAGCAGAAACTGCCCTGAGAACAAAAGGCAGGAAATGCCCAGATGAGCCACTGAAGGCAAAGAGAGTGGATAAGATCAAGTTATGTTACAGAACTCTCTTTTCCTTGGCACTTTGGTGGTTTGCAGTCCCGCTTCCCTGTGTTCCCTCCTTTTCATTAGTGCCCAGTGCCACGCTGCCAGCACGTGCCCCATTGTTCTCGGGAAATGCTGAGCAGGGGAGATGGAGGCCTGGCTGTTCAGAGGATTTGGAGACATGGGCTCAGCTGCTGAGGACAGCAAGCAGGCAGGGCTCTTCTGTGTACTCTGTAGACAACAGGATTGAGGCCATCATGCTGATTAACGTGATGTTAAGTGAAAGCAGAATTTCGCCTCCCAGGGAGAAGCAGGAGGACAGTTAGTTGGGGCTCTCTGTTGAAGCCAAATAATTCATGCATGTGTACCGAATGTCTTTTTTTGCCTTCCCCAAGCTGAGGACTGCCAGCTCCTTACCAAGATCCCAAAGGTCAAGTGTCTACGAAACACCCATCGAGAAGGTGAGTGTGGAAAGCTTTCTAAGTACAAAGATCTTGCCTATTTTTCCACGTGACCCTGGTTGCCTCCCAGCTGCTTACATGTTGTTTCCTATAGTCAGAATTTGTTTTTTCAGTATAAGCATTTGGAAGTTCTGTGGAGGGAGAACACAGCTTATCAACTCTCAGGCTTCAGGGGTCTCATGTAATACTTAAATAATGAGAAGTGATGTACAGAAGCCTTGGCTGGAACAGAGATTACATTTTAAGATCTTTATGAATAAAGATCCAGGTGCAAGTCTTGTCCTTTTAAACACAAGCTAACTCTTGCACTTTCAAGCGCAAGATAACAAGCTGTGTAGGAGACATGGGAGAAGGAAAACCAATCATGTATCTATCAAAAGAGACACAATTAAGGAAAGTTTTTTGTCATAATTCTGCTGCATGCATAAATGACTTTCCCAGCTGCTCTTTAGTTTGACCCACATGTGCTGGCTTGTTTCGAAAGCTGTCAGTGCACAGCAGGTTTGGAGCAAGGATCTAGAAGGAGAGACAAAAATCACAGTTTAGTTGACAAAGAGCATCCCATTTAGTGGGATGGTCTGTAAGAAAGTAAGGAGTCATCTGAGAGCCAGGCTGATATCTCTGCAGGGCGGAGTAAAGGACAAATGGAATAAAGGAGATAAGCAGTAAGGAAGGCAAAAAGCAGAGAGTAGAATTTGGCCATGGAGAATTGGTGATGAAGGCAGCAGGGTGCTCAGTGGGAGAGAGAGAGTGAGCAGGCAGCAGCCAGGTGTCTGTGGGAAGAGCTGGAAGGGAAGAACAAGGAGCCAGGTGGAAATTCTGTGTCGTGGACAGAAGTGACAGGAGAGGTCATTCACTGTGCTGGGAGGGCTCATCTGACTGTCCCCAGGGCATGCCCTGCTCTAAAGCTGCTCTCTGCTCCTGATGGAGATGTGATATAGGGGAATCACCTGCTCTTTCCCTGCAATGGGCACATAAAGTATTTTTTCTGAAGGAGGCTCAAATGTTTCCTTTCCTAACCTTCCTGCTCCTTTGCTGTCCTTTTCTCCTCGTAGGGCTGATTCGCTCTCGGGTGCGAGGAGCTGAAGCGGCAGCTGCTGACATCCTCACCTTCTTGGACAGTCACTGTGAAGTCAACAGCGAGTGGCTGCAGCCAATGCTTCAGAGAGTGAAAGAGGTGAGCACCATGTTCTGCGCTGGGATGGATGGAGCTGGCCTGGCTTTGTGCCGTTGGATCCTCTGCTCTCACATGCCTCGGCAGAACTGGTGAGAACAAGGCCTGCCAAGGTACTCCTCAGGCAGGCTGTTACAGAGGAAGGTACAGCCTGAGCTAGATTGGAAAGAGATCCCTGATGGGATTCTGTTCTGCCAGTGTGACAAGGCAGGAGGTGCAGAGTGATGGGATGCAATGCTGAGTGCTGGAACCACCAAATTGTACCTCTTGCAGGCATTGTGCTTCCTCATCCTGTTCACCTGTATGTAAGACAGCCCCTTGGGCAGCATACATTGTGCAATTTTTCCATGGTTTCCATCTCCCCTGCTGCTGGACCCTCCCCTCTGCCTTGTCACTGCCAAAATTTTCTTTCTATTAATGTTCCTACTGAGCTGCCACCATACATCACCTGCATGCAGGCAGCTTCCTGTCACAGAGAAGCTGCTTGTGACTGCAGGGATGTCCCCTTGGATGGTTCACTTGGCAAAGGATTGATGGAAGGCTGGAAGAATGAAAATGAGGCAGAAATATTAGCAGCTGTCACCCTGACTGCACTGCAGAGCTGGAGGGAGAGATCATACAGCTCTGCTGTAAGAAGAGGCAGGGGAGAGGGAATGGGAGAAGTCCTGCCTGCAAGTGGCTGTGATTGTTCCCCTCTGAAAGGAGGATCCCATGAAGTAATGGGCCTTAGGAGAAGGGGTGGAGTCTTTAATTTTGCTTTGTAAGCATGTGTGATTAGCTTAATATGAGGGAGCAGAAGAAGGTGAAACTTCAGAATTGATGAATTAAAAGCTTCTGCTTTTTATTCTTGTTCAATAAAGCCCATAAATGTTTACTTTACTTATTGATCTTTAAGTCAAGGTGCAGCACAAGAAAGAACCTCACTCATTACTTTAGGGAAGGATCTAAAATGCAAAAGTCTGTGTGCTAACTCTAGTATACAAATTTTTTAGTGAGCAGATTTCAAGTCAACCTATTTCTGACTTACTTTCTACATTTCTGATGTACATCCTATTATAGATTTCAGTCTTGCCCTAGCCAGTCCTGGCACTGATTGGTTGGAGTAGTGGCTGGCACACCAGGCTGCCAGGTGGGTGCTGGAGTCTCAAGCTGTGCAGACACACTCTGGCTGGGCCACCATCACAGCTCAGAAGGGAAAAATATGAATCCTCTTACCAAGGATGTCCCATCCTAGCCAAGTGTGGTACATCATGAGGAACTATTGCAAGGCACAAAATGAAGGTTTGATAGGAAAGGCATGGGTACTGGCAGCTATCCAATAACAAGGTTCTGTTTCTGGCATTGCCAGCTCAGTTTTATCTTACATGGCAGCTGTCACAACACTGTCTTTTAATGCCCTGTCTCATGATGTTGAAAAATTGTTCAACTTCTGCAAACAAAAAAGGATTGCAAAAGAAAACTGTAAATGTCTATAAGCCTTAATGGCAATAAAGTACTCACAATATCTTGATATTATAATGTATACAATCTTAAATGGGGGATCTTGATTCATAGTACTTCCTAAGTAAATAGGATTATTAGGCGTTTGATAATTTCTAGGCTGATGATAATGAGCTAGTTTAAGGATGGCTGAGCAGAAGGTGTGCTGTCAATAGATATCAAAAGCAAGCACAAAACCCTTGGGACAGTGATTGATACCCTGTGACTTGGGCAGGAAATAAAGAGCTGTTTCTTAGCAGCATTCCTAGGTGTTGGAGTCTGACTCCATTCCCCTCATCCATGGAGTGCTGCTGGCTGGTACCCTCCATCTCCATGTTTGGATTTAGTGGCCACAGATCCTTTGCACAGCTGCCAGAACCATATTGGAGAAATCAGACAAAGATTTACATGTTCAACTTTGTGTTTCCTGATCTCTGGCAGCTTTGCTGGACATTCAAGAAAGTCTGATCCCTTTTTTCCCCCCTTTCTCTCTCTCCCTCAGGATTATACCCGAGTGGTGAGTCCAATCATTGATGTTATCAGCCTGGATAATTTTGCCTACCTGGCAGCATCAGCAGATTTGAGGGGAGGTGGGTATAATGAATGGTTTATGTAAGTTAGACATAACTGAGGGATGGTGCATGATAAATGTTGTGTTCTCTTCAGCTTTCCAAGAAAATAGAGTGATGATCTTTCTGATGGGTTATCTGTCCCTTTTTCTCTGCAACTTGCCAAGTCAGATCTTTTGAAGAGTTAGAACAAAACTCAACTAGCATTTTCCTCTTGACCTTGAATCACTGTCATAACATTTAGCAGTTTCAGGACTCAGTTAATTGATTAAATGTCTCACTATGTCATCATTATGCTGCATGTACACTGGAGTCTGACAAGCACTTCCAGTTGCTGCTTTGATCTGGCAGGCTCTCTCATGGCATCTTCTGAAAAGCATTTACACCTCTCCCCTCACAGCTGAGCCCCCTGCAGCTGCTCCTGTCTTCACCCCACTTCCTGGTGCCCTTCTACATCTTTTATGGCTGGGGCTCACTTCTGCACTGCTTGCCAGCCAAAGGCTACCTGTTCTTTGGCTACCCTTAGCAATGGTATAGTGACTGTGCTGTGCTCTACTATCCACCACAGGCCGTCTGTAAGTGCATGGTAGTCTTGAAGAGCATGGTGGGAACAGTGATCTGCAGGCCTGTGTTCCCAGAATATATCACATCCTACCAAGTCCTTTATTAAAGCCTCATAACTGTGGCTGACAGCGTTTGCCTTTGGTAAAACAAACTGGCTAGAATAGAATTACATCTCAGCCTGACAACACTCTCCTGAAGGTGTGGAGTGAAATGGAGGAGACATCTGTAATGCTGCATTAGGATAGGCTATTGCCATTTTAGGAAGACTGTGAAGGGAGGTCAGGGAAGGAACATAGGGACAGCCCATGATAGAACAGTGCAGACTCACTGAAAGCTAGTAGTACTGTTTTTACAATAAGAAAACCAATTTGGCATGTCTTTTTCCTTTTCAGGGTTTGACTGGAGCCTTCACTTTAAGTGGGAACAGATTCCTATAGAGCAGAAGATGTCCAGAACAGACCCAACTCAGTCTATAAGGTACACTCTGACGGACACTTCTCCAAATACCTTTACTAAGCCTTCACCAGTGTGGCAAGGAGAGTACAGGGAATGCCTTGCTGAGGACATGCAAGGCAAATGTCACAGTGTTGATGATGTCAAACTCTTCATGTTATTTTCTGAATACATTGAGGTCTATACCCTAAGTATGAGAGAACTGCTCTCTGAATATTGTAAGAATAGTGATTATTTACTATCATGCACTCCACCTCTACAGGCCACCTCTTCTTCTGTATGTTTGTTCTTGTGTTCTCCCTAACTCAACACTCTGAATGCCTCAGAAATCGCTTTGGGGTTTTTTATTACCTCCATCTTTCAGATGCAAACTTCAAGAATGAAGCAGATAAACAGTCGTTCCACATGTGTAAAGCAGATCAGAAAACTGGATCTTACCTAGTAATGTGGGTATAGAATTACTCCCACCTACTAAATCTGCATGTCCACAGACAAAAGAGGTTCTGTTAGCTGGAACAGTTGTTGCCAGCCTCACTGCAGGATACATGGCTCTGAGACATGTAGAATGTAACAAATCCTGATATGAGGAGTTATGGTGCTTGTCTTTATAGGCAGACAGCTCCCTGTTTGTAATCTAAAGGTATCATTTAATTCCTCTGTGTAATTTGTGAGCCTCTGTTTTGCACTCCAGAAGCAGCCAGCTTGCTAACAGCAGAGCAGTATATGCAGCAGCTTGTCACACCATGTCTAATTGGTGAACACAGTCATCAAACAGTGCCCATCATTCCTTCACACTGTGCATATTTGTATAAATGCAAAAGGCACAGCATTACTCTTGTAGTGCTTGCAAGACCATCTAACAAAGGCGTGAGGATGATTTAGTGAGAGGCATCTCAGAAACCTGCAGCAGGCTCACATTCCAGCTCTACTATTTTTCTCTTTTAAATGAGGTATGACTTGTGATGCCTGGACAAATTTGTCTGCCCTTTAAAATTAGTTTTGTGGTGCTACATATATGTGTGATTATTTTTTCTGGATTTCTGTTTTCTGTTCCAGAACCCCTGTCATAGCAGGAGGCATCTTTGTGATTGACAAGTCCTGGTTTAACCACCTGGGAAAATATGATACTCAAATGGACATCTGGGGAGGAGAAAATTTTGGTAAGTTTAGAATGTTTCAAGGGAATGACACACTAATGCAGAACTGCTTCCCTGTCTTCATTGCTTACCAGAGCTTTTTTTGTGAAAGATCTGATCAGCATGTCAGTGTAATGTTGGGGATGTGGTCAGATAATCCCAAGGTGGTCAGAGCTGTATCACTGTCAGCAAAAAGTCTGTGTGGTCAGGGCTACACTCTCCTACAGGCGTATGTGCTATTATACAGGAGCTTGCACAGTACAAGAAAGAGAGAGGAGCCTCCTGATATTTAAATTGTTGCTTGTTTTTGGAGAATATTCTTCCAGTTCTTCACATGATATTCTGTGTTGCCCCAGCTCTGAAGTGGCCAGCCACTCCTGCAGCCTCTTCTTACACCTGTTCCTCTCTTGCAGATAAATCTGAATTGCTCTCTCAGCTTGACAGGTCAGAGATATTTTTCCTAATTAAATAAGCTTCTTTGTAAATGGAATTTGGTTACAAATAGACTCAGAATGCAAACATTTAGAAGCAGACTAGGGCATCACAAACATTGAGGACTTCAGAGGCCCAGAGTAGTTGTCCACTCACGTGCTGGTTTAGGGCATGGTGCTTAAACCCATCTCCTTGCACTTAGCAGTGGCACAGATATGCCAGGCATCTCTCTTTGCCCCGTGTGAAGGGATGCTGCCATGTCACCAGGTGTTAATGACAAAAGCAAGATGAGTGTTAAAGAGAGGTTCATGGAGACCTCAAGTGTTTGGGACATTAATTTAGACATGGTGCAGATGGAGCTGAGAAGATAAAAGCCTTACTTTTTGTAACCAACTTAAGTAGATTTCTCTGTAGCTAATACTGAAAAAAAAAATCAGTTTCTATAGATTCCGTAAATGTCATAGATATGTAAAAAAACCTTTCAAAGAAGGATTTGTATGGTGTTTCCTAGCACCTGTAGAACTAATTAGAAAGAATGAAATAGGAAGAGGAAACCTTTGTTTCTCTGAACACAGCTGGGAGAGCTGCCTCTTTGAGATGCTTTCTAAAACAGTTAAATAATATTTTGGGCTGATAATAGACTCTCAAGATACCACATTTTAGAAACAAAATATCTAACAATGAGTGTTCTCTGTTTTCCCAGATCTTGATTCAGTTTTATGGTATTCATTATATTAGAAAGAGATATTAAATGGTACTTGCATTGGAATCTCAGCAGCCCTAGCAGCATCAGCTAAGCACTGTGGCAGAAGTCACAGGAAGCCTTTACCCCCCAGGCATGAAGATCCCCTCCTTTATGTCCTTCAGGAGCAGAGTCAAACTCAGTTCCTTGCCATCACCAGCCCTGCTCCAGCGGCAAAGCCAGCCACTTGGCCATGCTTCCAGCCTCTGAGCTGTGACTGTGTGAAATCTGTAGAACCCAAAGATGGAGAAGGAATATTTCTTAAGGCTTTTCTCTGTCTGCTCCTGCCCACCTGGGAGTCCAGTGTTGATATGTCCGTAGCATGATGCTAAGTAGAGCTCTCTGCCATAAGTAGCAGTAAATTATTTGCATGCTCACAGCCATTCTTCCACATAGAGCTGACCAAAAGCACAGAATTGCTCCACAGAATTTGCTTCATTCTCTTTTAAATAGCTCTTGTAAAGCCTTGCAGTGGCTGGGTCAGGCTGTGTGTGGCTCAGCCACATATACAGGGCTTGCCAGTTTTGCCTTGTTAGGAGGTTTTTCTGTAAATTCAGTGTCTTCTGTCACTTGTCCCTCATCCTCCATGAAGTCTGTTGCTGCTGAATGCAGAGGGATAGAAACCAACCTGGGTTTGACAACAAAATGTATTCATTTTCCTTGAAGAATTCAGAATGGTAAATTTAACCTCTTAAAAACAGTTTACCATACTTAATTGCAAACAGGGTTTTCTGATCAAGGAAAAATATTGATAATGTTCTGAAACATTATTTATACTAAATACTACAATTTTGAGTGGGAAGGGACTGTTTGAATTAGGTTCTCATTTGTAAATGAGATGAGTGGTTCTGTCTAAGATGGTGTGAGAAATCCTCTCTTTGGAACTGAACATCACTTTCAAATTATACATGCCAGACTGAGTTTTTTTGTAGGCCAAAGTGAGTCAGAAGCTCATTCCAGGAGAGCAGATGTCAGCTGGACACATCACCAGACAGAAACTTAAGTCTTGGGTTTTTTTTTATTTGTTCGTTCTTAAAACCCTTCCTCTCTTCAAAGCTGGAACTCCCTGTTAAAAACAATCTGAAAATAATTAGCTCTGGATAAGATCAGGAGAGAAAAGTACTAGTAAGAAATACTACAAAATGCAGTCTAATCAAATGAGGTTTTTTACTGAGAAGCTACATTAAATACACCATCTCCCCCACCCTGCAACTCACTATTTGAACTACCTTTCAGTATGCAGAGAGGAAAGCTGTGGAGAAAGATGAAGGTTGGGAAGATATTAGTGTGTGTACATGGTTTCAAACATCCATTAGATCTGGATACATAATTTCTTTTTAATTTCTAAGCATCAGGGCTGCATAAATTGGGCATTACTGGAGGAAGATCCCAGCTGAGTAGTTTTTGAAGTAATCAGTCTATACAATCTGAATACCTTTTGGAAAAGGCTGCCTAGCCACCCAACTAATTTTCATTTTCCTTCTTCCTTCTCTTTTCATCACCACATGAATTGAAAGTGGAAAACCCCTCTGGTGTGGCAGTGATTAAACTTGTGAGGACAGACCCATAAGCCTGAGAAAGGTCACATACCTTCTGTAATGCAAATAAGTGTCTGCACATCAAAGCTCCATGCTCTTGTAATCCTTTAGCAAAATGTTGAATCTAGCTTCAGGATAAGGTGGATTTCTTCAAGTAGCAGGATTCTCTGTATTTTCATAGTCATACTATATGAGACTGGTATCTGCCCTGAGCAGTTCCCCCAGCAGCAGCAACTGCAACACAGGCAGTTGCTCTAGTTCATTAGTAATGAACTAGAAATGTTCATTACAAAATGAGAAGAAGGAACTATAGGAGGGTGGATAATATAGAGGTATGAGGGAGAGGACTTAGCTCTGGACATTGACTCCCTATACCCTCATCTTGTTTTGTTCTTTCCCCTTGTGTTCTAAACTCTCTTTCTTCCTCACATGATTTGCTTTACACAGTAAATTCCTCCTTTCTAATTCCATCTTCGTGCAGGGATGAGAGTAACAGAAGTCCAAAACAGGGAGGGGCTGTGTGTGGGAGTGGTCTCAGTCTGTTGCCAGATGCCATCCTGGGGGCCTGACATCCTGAGCAGCCTTGAAGACCTGGTCAAATGCAAAGGTGTCTCACTGAAATGAGACCAAAGAGGAGCAGGACTGGAGAAGGCATGGAAGTCCTTGAGCTGCAATGGTTGCCTCCATTTTAACAAAGGGAGGACAGTTTCTCCGCTCTCAGCATGGCATTGCTTTCCCTGATTTTGCTGTTGCAGGCAATAGACCTAGAGCAGAGGGGAAAGAAAATTGCCCTTCTTGGAACTGTTGCAGCTGTATGACTCTTGGGGTCTCTTCCAGAGCTCTCTTTCCGAGTGTGGATGTGTGGTGGCAGCTTGGAGATTGTTCCGTGCAGTCGAGTGGGACACGTGTTCAGGAAGCGCCATCCCTATGACTTCCCTGAGGGCAATGCGCTGACTTACATCAAGTAGGTGTTGGGTAGTTCCTGGTAACAGCCAGGCCACCTTTGTGTTGGGCACGTCTAAATAAGCCTGAATTCTTTGTTGTGCTTTTCCCTGGTAATGGAGAACAGCTTGTGGCTGAGCATCTGTTCTCAAGGGAAGGATGAGTTGTTGTTTTCTGTGAACAAAACCTGTTCCCTTCTCTGCTGTTTGTTTTTGTGTCTCTTATTCCTTCTCAGCCTCTGGTGAGGGGGTAGGGAGCAGTATGCCAGAGAAGACACCCTGGCCATTCACAGATGCTGCCCTGTGACATATGTGGGAGTACCAGCAGCCCTTGGACATCTCTGTTGTCTCTGAGCTGTACATGCTCTAAGATAAACCCTGAGGACAACTCCTACTGCAGGACAGATGGGAAGAGAAAAGAGATGAGATGAAGTACTTGACAATGAAAGTGGTCAAGCACTGCTTCAGGGCCCCAGAGAGATGGTGAAATCTCCATCATTTCAGATTTCAAAACTCAACCAGTCAAGACCCTGAGCAACATGAAGCTAGTCTGATTAGGGCAGGAGATTAGATGTTAGACACAGCTGTTTTCCCAGCTGAATTATCCCATAATATTATTCAAATCTGGGAAAAGGGATACTGGAAATGAGTGTGATGGTGACAATCAGGCCCGGTGTCTCTGCAGAGGAAGTATGTGTGAAAAAGTAATGATAAACTATGGCTAATAAATTTTTAATTTCTGAAGTGTTTTTGCAAGGCTTTGTAGATTTAATCAATCTCTACCCTTCCATACTGCCTACTCGGTTTTGTGTTTGGGGCTGTCCCCCACTACCTCCTAGCAGACAGGCCTTGGGTCTGCTTGCAGGGAGGGCAGGTTCTGCAGCATCTGCTCCCCCGTGCAGGAACACCAAGCGCACAGCAGAGGTGTGGATGGATGAGTACAAGCAGCACTACTACGAGGCCCGGCCCTCGGCTATCGGCAAGTCGTTTGGAAGGTAAGCTACCCCAGACCTTGCTAGGAGGGCTCTGGTAAACCCCTTGGTAGCAAGAAATAGTTTTTAGGTCTTCTCTGGGGCTAAGTGTGAGAAATAGAAGTGCTCTGAATGCTTGCCTTGCCAAGGAGGTTGTAGCTTGAGTGTCTGGCTAATGAGGTTTGCTTCTAATTCACTTAATTTTTTCCCCGGTAACACTGCATAAATCATTTGTTAGCAGAAGGCCAGAGGGATCTGTAATGAAATTAAAAGACCAGACATTTGAAGTGGCTAGACAGGAATATTTTTCTATCCGAGCATGCAGCTGTTGTGGAAATGTGAGCTGTATCTAGAGCTTGAGCTGAAGTTCCTGTGCAGATGCAAAATCCCAGGGCAAGCATGACTGGCTAGCACATGGGGCATGTTGCACTTGGGCACTTCCCACTTTCCTGATGGAGGGAGGGTAGTTTGCCTGGTTTGTAGGGCAGGAGAGAACATGGCTGATGGTAAGATTTAGAAACACAATCTGCAGAACTGTGCTTCTTACAACACCTTTGCTAAAGCTGTTTTCAGGCCACATGGGATTCATTGTTATCACTTAGCAGTTCTCTGTGATCCAGAAATCGGTGATGGACACCAAACCTGGAATGACAGGAGAGCTTGCGGTCTGTGCACTCAAACTCCTATGACTCCCAAATAATGTAAAAATCCTAGGAGTGCTGCATTTCTATGGGTTTTATCTGCCTGTGAATAAAAGGCCATTGTTGTATCAGTGTAAGGACTTGGCAAATGTGGTTGTATCTCAAATGTGTAGCTGTTTGCACAGGATAATGATGCATCTCCTACTTATTTATGACAACCAGGTCGCTTTTCTTGCTGTACACTTTGCTTTTTTATCATGATACATTACATATGTTCATGAAAATAGCTTTGCCTACCTAATTTATCAGTCCTGGAGCTGACTGCAGCAGCTGGACTGGGGCCACATAGCAAGTAACCCTGCTGCTTGTGAAGGAAACAGACTATTGCATATTGTGTGTGGACATATTGCTCATGTGTTTTAGTGGCAAAATCTGCAGTTCTTGTTTGCCCAGACTTCCTAGTGACTTTACTGGCAGCATTGGCTGAATAAAAGCTGGAGCAGAGCATAAGACTGACTTCAGGCAATTTCCTGCAGTAACAGCTCTGTGAACCTGCATTAAATCTAGATTTTAGGGTGCAAATGCCTTTGACATCATCACTGATAATTGGCCCTAAAATGGACCCTCCTTCCCCTCAATTTTGGTGTGGATATAAAATCTAAGAACGTTCCCCTGAGGTGTGTGGCCTCATGTATATGTACAGTGGCCTCTGTAGGCTGAGAATGCAAAGGTGCCCAGGTACCACTGAAATGCCTTCCCAACACACAAATGTAGTGTTATAGCTTAAAGAGAAGAGCTCTTGGTTTCACTGCTCAGTAGGACTGCTAGAGGGAAATCCTCTTCTTCAGCCAGCTAAAGCCAAACAAATCAGCAGTGGAGGACTGCCGCAACAAACAGCTACTGAGATGTTGAGTTCATCTCCGCTTTTACTGCCACCTTTTCCCAAAGTGCTTAAGAACAAATAATTAAGTTCTTCAGGTCTCAGTTCTCCAACCTGAGCCTAGACCTGCTGCCGTGTGCTAGAGACATGCTTTAGCACACACATGTTAATCATCTGTATGTACCTAAGCACAAACTCTTCCTAGGCCTTTTCAGCAGCTGATTGTTGTGCAGGTTTCATGGTATGCCTCTACAGGGGCACCCAGAGGCACAGACACTTTCCTGATCTTACAGCAGTTTTACTGCACTGTATTATTTAACGAGGTAGGACTTGGGCCCTGCCATCGCTCTGAGCCAAAGGAAGTGCAAGAACAGCTCTCTGAAGGTGTTTGCTTTCCATTTCTATTTCCTGCCACTTGCCTCTCTCCTTGTCTTCACCTCAGGTCACTGCTAGTGCCCTGACCCCAGCAACAGTTATGTGGGAGAATGAGTAATGTCAAAAAGGAATGTAATTTCCCTCAAACCTCCTGGCCAATCTTCATTGTTCCCCTCCCTCCTGTTCACTGCCTTATTCTCAGCAAACTGCCTGTGTTTCCAGTGTTGCAGACCGAGTGGAGCTGCGTCACAAGCTGAACTGTAAATCCTTCCAGTGGTATCTGGAGAATGTCTACCCCGAGCTCAAGTGAGTCAGTTCTTCGAATGTACAAATCTCTGAGGGACTGGGAGGTGGCTCACAATGGGAACATGAGCCTTGACAGCAGTGGGCAAAAGAGAGATTTATGCTTGGAAAAGGTTTTCTCTGTTCATCTTTTTGGTGAGAAACCTCCTGTGTTTTCCTGGCTTGTATTATCACAGCTCTGCAAAAGGTCTGCCTTCTGTTCTGCCCCACACAGCTGTCCCTTGGAGATGTGCAACCCTGGTGCTTTCAGAGATGTGGGGTGCAGACAAGTGCCAGTGCACTACAACCCTCCCAGTTTTGACTTGGCCTTTGCCCACTGGATGTTCTGTCTGGAGGGAGTTGAGCCAAGTAGAACTGGACAGCCTCAGTGCAGAGGTTTGGGTGGTTCAGAGAAGGCTCTAAGGAATGCCACAACCAGCTGTCCCTGTGGCTTGCCCTGCCCTGGGTCAGGACACAGTGGTGTTGAGTCCTTGCTCAGCTGGGAGGCAGCCTGGGTACAGCTGTGTTGTTGGCCTGTGCAAACCAGCACACATCTGTACAGCTCAGAAAAGGCAGCACATCTTTGCATCTCAGTCTGTGGCTGTGAGTGGAGGCTGAAACATCCAGCTGTAGTGTGGCCTTGACAGATCTTTCTGCATTCCTACCAATGAGGCAAGAATATGTTAGCTGGGGAGAAGAGTGAAAAAGGGGGAGGAAGAAGCAAAGCATATCAATGTGATTGTGGCTTTTTGCTGGAAACAGCCTCTTTCAGAATTTCAGAATCATCACATTAAACTGCTTAGGGTCCCCTAAAGATCCTGGTGTTCCTTCTGAAACAAAAGCACTAGTCCTCTGACCAAGTTCTCATTTGATTTTTGCCTCCTCCAGATATTTCCAGTGGACAGGATATTGTTCATTTTCTGTCAGATATAGGGAACTGTTTTTAGTCAGGGGCCAATTAAGCCCTTATAAATGTAGAAGTACGTTGGTCATTTCTGTGTATGTACCATGCAACTGTCATTTTACTTCAAGGATTCCTGAAAAAGAGTTCATTCCAGGAATAATTAGACAAGGAGGAAGCTGTCTGGAGTCTCAGGCACAGGATACCACAGGGAATGTGTTGGCTGGCATGGGAAACTGTAAAGGGACAGTGAACAATCCACCTGTCACTCAGGTAAGGCAGGCTTCAGTTTGGTGCTTTGCTCCTGCTCCTACCCTTTTAATAACCTGAATGAAGAGGTATCTCTGGCCTTGGTGGGTTGATATGGAGGTGAAGCAATGTGAGGGGATAGAATGGAAGAAAATAAAGATAGTGCAGAAGGTAATCTCACCCCTGAGGAGTTGCAGCTGTACTAACTACCAAAGATTAGGAACAGCTGCCCTTAACAGGCCACAGCTGTGACCAATGAGAAGAAGAGTGCTATAGGAGAGTGGGTTTGCTGCTTGAGAAGGAAGCTGGAGTTTGTTGGCTGTGTTGTGAAGAAGAAGGAGTCAGTGGTGTGAGGAGCTGCCCATGAGAAATCACCAAGAAGGTATGGAACTTCTGCAAATAAGGAGACAACAATTGAACTTCTGCAAATAAGAAGACAACAAAAGAAGGAAGAAATGGACCCTGTAATGGTTTTAGTAGTAAGCAGAAAAAGAAGCCCATCTCTCAGAGCTCTGTTGGCTCAACAGACTCAGCAGTCAGGCATAGAATGTGAAGGTTTTCATCTCTCAGGGACAACAGGTGCTTAGATGCTCAGGGAGTGACAGACTCACTGAGAATCATTTTGGGGCTGTGCATGGCTAGTACCCTGGCATGTGGGTATGAGATTTTTTTGGGATTAGAAACATTCCTTGCTCTGCCAGCTCAGCTGTAGCTGCAGATGACTTGAGTTGTGCTGTACTGCAGATGTGTTCCAGTATAAAGCACAAATAGAGTTTAAATAGTTGACCCCAGTGGCAGTAATGTGGTGCAGTTCTCCTAACTGCAGTGGAGCTGTGATGGTGTATACAAGCTGAAGATCTGCACTCAGACTCTCTGTTGGTGACTGGAAGCAGCTTGAGAAAGTTGGGTATTTTATGCCAGAATATGCATTTTCACGTCTGTTAACTGTTGGAAACTAGTTTGCAGCCAGCATTCAGTGTGCCTTTTAACCTGACTCACTGCTCTGTGTCATTACCACTTGAAATCTCTGAAACTTACTGCATTTTGTATTTTTTCCTTGGGGAAAGTATGGTAGTAACATTTGATTGGATCAGGTATCCATCTAGTCAGAGGAAGGAAAAAATTAATCAACTTGTCCCTTGTGCATGCTGGTGCTGTATGGATATGTTTGCATGTGTTTTGCTTTGCTTGACAATCAATAGGTCCCAGATACCTGTTAGAGAACGTGTGTGCTGTGTAAAATACGCAGAAGCAGTTGCACATCAGGTGTGTCAGGGCTCGGAATCCTCCTTGCTTTGTAGGCCTGAATCTGTAAAGCTGCAGAGCTGAGAATTGCATGGGACCATGGGTTAATCAGACACCTCAGATAGTGAGGGGAGCCAGCTGCAGGCTTTAAAATGGTGATGATGCACCAAGGCTGAGCATAAACTTCTGATCAGGTGACATCTGCTGTGGTAGTCTTCCCAGGGAGCCTTTTGTAGGAAGAGAACAAAAGATGCAGGGTTTTAAAATATCTGATAGAAAAAGCTCTCTCTCCTTCATCTGATCGCTGTTGGAATCCTAATGGAACCTTTCTTTTTCTTATTCCAAAGGAGTGGATATTCAGTGACCCTTTAATTAGACAGCAGGACAAGTGTCTTTCCATTGCCTCCTTCTCTACTGGTTCTCAAATCACACTGGAAGCTTGCAATCAAAAAGATGGCAGACAGGTAGGTAACTGCACCTCTTCCTAATGCCTTCATTGCCACGTGCCAGTGTACCTGCATCAGTGCAGCCAGCAGGGGCAAACCCAGCACTATCAAGGCACATTCAAGTCCTTCCCCTCTTCTGCATCTCCCTCTCTGGTGTGTTTTGTGAGCTTGGATGCATGACAGAGTGTGTGACCAAGCAGGAGGTGCACGGTGGGTGTGTGCTCTGCCTGGGTCCTTGGCAGCATGGCTGGCTCCAGCTCAGCAGCACCCCAAGTTTACTTCTTGGATGAGTTTTTGCGCAGCCAGATTGGTGCATGGATGAAGCATAGCACCAAAGAGAGGTAGGTGAGGCAACTGCTTTGAGATACCTAAGGAGAGAGTGGTGTGTGCTATCATTTGTTTATTTAATTTGAAGTGAGATACCTGTGTTCTTCTTTGTGCTGTCTTTGGGCATGCGAGCAGGCCTTTAAAACTGAGTGCATGCATTTCATTTAAGAGATACTGGCTGACATAGAGCACTGTATGTTCCACCTGAACTGCTCCCTAGAGGAAAAATACACAGCAGCAATGTTCCCAACAAAATACAGCTCTTTGACTTCTGCTGTTTCCAAGATGTGTATCCCTGATCTGTCAGGACAAATCAATCCTTTTGCCTTGCAACACTAGGTAAAGGATGGCCTCTGCAATGGCTGGGGTGCCCTCAACAGAGATGTGACATGCCTTTTTATCAGAACTGGGCAAAGCACAAAAGGCAGCAACAGAACACAGGTAGACAGCAGATTGGACTTGTTTCACTCCTAGTTCCCATGCTTCCCTCTACACCAAGAGAGAGCACGTTTTCTGTCATCTAAGGCTGTGCTGACTCTCTGCTTTCTGACATGTCTGTTGTTTTGATAGCCCAGAGGTAGAAGACGGCTCAGCTTTGACCTGTTCTCAGCAGCATTTTCTTTTTTCAGTACTTTCTAATACTATATGAATCCTTGAAATTAGTTTTTCCTGAAAGAAAACATTGAAATCCAGTCCTGCCCAGTTATGGAAAACCTGTGTAGACTTTCCTCTGGAGGGTTGGTTAATGCAGAAATGCCTTGAAGAGTTGTCACCATGATTACACTGGGAAAACTCTGAGTTTGGATTAATCTGCAAGGGTATCCCAGGTGGGCTGTGCTTGCCTGCTCCTTTTTCTTGTTGGCAATCACTCATGCCATTGCTGTGTAATTAGGTCACTTAGTTTCTCCTTATGTGTCTGGCAGTATTTTCCTCCCTGGCAGCAGAGAGAACTTCAGCAGCTGCCAAAATCAGCTGTCTTTCCCTGCTTCCTCTGTCACAGAAGGACAAGGGTCCCTCAAGGAGGGTGGAGTCCAGGCTGCATCAGAAGCCAGAAGAGAGATTAATCCACAGTAACACAAGCAGGCTTATTCTGCTGCTGGAATAGGATTTATTGAGTCTTGATGTGTTGATTATATACAGGCTCATTAAAAAGACATACACACACTTAAGAGTGTGAGCTGTTGTTTTCCATTACCTTATGTGAGCAAACTACACTTACACCAAGGACTTGACCTAGCAGACGATTTAACAACTGACTCTAAGCAAGGATTTGCTTAAGCATTTGAAATAATTAGAGACTGATTTGAATTGCAGATGCCATTCTAAACTGCCTTGCAGCTGAATGGATAAGGTGGGGTGAAGTGGGAGAAATGCATTTGAATTTTTAATGTAATTTGGGTTTAAATGCTCTTAAACATTGGGGTCGTTTTTGTAGTCCCAAACTCCCATCTCAGATTTCTGCTTATAAAGCCAATTCTACTTCCAATGTTCAAGTTTGTTGTGTTCCTAGGGAATGTTGTTATGGTTCTTTGCTTCCATAAACACAACAGTAATTGTTGTTAACACTGACATTAGTTTTTAATTAGCTAGAAGTCAGTCATCTTGTAAACTATTCCATTCTCTCTCCTCCTGATATTTGAGAGGTTGATTTCCAAGAAAGAGCAAAGCTGGAAGGAACAAATTCCCTCAGTTGCCCTACAGCTTGCCTTGTCACAGCCCAACGTGAAAGTGCTGGGGGAGAGCAGTGCTTCCAAACTGTACATGAGTGTACCCACTTCTCAGTTCAAGTGGGCTTGTCAGAAAGTCAGAGGAGCTGAATGGAGGGTGGAGGGAGGGGAGCTGAGCTGCTTTGCAGAGCTGGAAGTGACAAGCGGGAGCCCTGAGTACGTGATGTGGTCTGAGTGGAGGAGGGTGAGCGTGGGCAGCCTGCATCACACACATCACATGTACAGTATCCTAAGTAATGGAAGTCCAGCTTTGAACATCTTTCCTGTCACTGTCTTCAGAGATCTGTGGTGAATGATGTTTGGATTTGTCTGGATGTAGATTTCATGTCTGTGTCTGAGTCATGTAAAAGCAGCATTTCTGACAAAAGATGGTGTATGTGGTAGCTTTGGTTTTTAGTGTCCCGGGAGTACATGGGTTAGATCATTATGACAGCACCACACGACTCCTAAAGTTGGTCTCTGCTTTCAAGCATGCTGAAACTGTGCCCATGCTACACAGCTGTTCTGCATTAAGCATGTCCCAAGGACAGATATTTTTTGTTTATTTTGAGTGCTAAAATCAGTCCATCTGACAAATAGGTAATACTCTAGCAGAGGCTTTAGAATATTATGATTTGTGGTTAGAGTATTACCTCAAAATAAATCTAGAATTTTGCAAGCAGGAGGATATGAGACAATAGTCACACTTCAGATGATTTTTGATGCTGTCAGACTCCCTTGGGTTGAAAGAAACCAGAAATGAAATCTATTTGGCAACATGATCCTGTTGATCATTCAACAGCAACAGCTGGCACTGCTAGCAGAAGACCAGCCAAAAGCTATTCTGCATAATCAGAACTAGATTTCAAAGCAGATGGATGTTATCCATAATGTTATTTGGAGAATAGCGTTTTTAGTTGAACGCACAATAAATTATTGCCTTCAGCTTTGTTTTTTGGCTCTTGACTAACAGTAGGAGTGGTGTTTTAATTTGTGTTATAGTGAGGACAAATAGAAGGCAAAGCGAGAGTTAGACCCTAAAACAAGAGAATGAAAATGAGAAACATTGGCACAATATTTCCCAACAGAAAAAGAAGTGCTGAGAAATCCTATTAAACAGCTATATTTCATTAAAATGTTCTGAAGGAATGTGACCTCAGCCTGAAAATGAAGACACTGAGTGTTCTTGTGAGACAAACACTACTTGAAATCCTCTGTCCCTTTGTATGCCATTGGGAAAGTTTTCCCACTTCTCAGTGAGTATTACCTGAAGATAAATGCAACTTTAATATGGAGTATCTGAAAAGTAAAGTAGAGAGAGCCTGTCTGTCTTGAAACCACCTGGCTTAGCACCTTCATGACAATAAGTAGGTAAAACAATACTGGCAATATGCCATACCTTGAAAGTAGTTTTCAGGAGACAAAGGCTTCTCTTAGTTGTGATTTAGTTTTACAAATTAAAGTGCTCAAAGGAAGACAGTACTTGCTGGATGCTATGTGAGCTTTTCCATCTTCTGTCTCTGCTCATATATTTAAAATTTAGGACCAGCTTCAGGCTGCCCATGGCTCTGCAAATACACTCAATTACAACGTACAACATCCTTGGCCACTCCAGTTATCAGCTCTCCATACATTTCTGTTTGAAGCGTCTCAGTTCTCATGAACAAAATTTGCCTTTCTCAGCTGTGCCTCCTGAGCTTGGCCAATTCCATTGTTTCACAGTTAGGATTTTGAGAGAAACCCTGCACTGCCTGGATTACTGGGGGTTAAAAGAAAACTTTTGATTGCCCTGAAAAATTAGACTAGTGTAAACCATTTCAGCTTTTGTGGATAGAAGAAGAGTGTCTATTTCTGACTTTTCTCTTAGTTATTGCATGTGGAATGCTTCTATCCAGCCACCTAAAACTCATTTGAAATGATAGATGAAAAAGAGGGAGAGAGAGATTCGCAAAAAAAAGTGGGGGAAATTTTGAGTTGACGCTGGGGAAGAGGATCAAGACACATTTCAAAGAAAAAATGGATTTTTTTTTTTTCTTTCTCCATCTTCACTCCAAACCTACTCTGACCAGTAAACTGTACTATCTCCATCTGTACAAGAAAGAAAGGGAGACCAAAGAGGATTTTCAAGCCAAAATTTCTCAGATTGTGCAATCTTCCAAAAGCTTTCCTTCCATGTACAGTCTGGTTATAATGTCTGGGTGTAGGAGAAGAGAGGACTCCCTGTAATATGTATGCAGGAGGTGTCTATCCTGCTTATGTTTTTGCTAAAGATGGTCATTACTGCTGTCATTTAAAACTTACCAGTCCAGGCCTCCCTTGTGGTCTGTGGAGAAAGCTGGGCCCTCCCAGAAGGGGTTTGTACCTTGGAACCCTCCATAACTACATCATCAGGCAACTAGTTTAGACTAAATTGCTCCTTTCTGAGGTGGCTGACAGTGGGAGATGTGTCCTCTCTCCTGTTCCCATCCCTTCCTACCACCCACCCCGCTGAGAGCTCTGAGATATGATGTGTCCCTGCAGGGCAGGATGCTGGGCTGTCTTTGATAGTCCTGTGGTCTGCAGTCAGGCCTCGTGAAAGGTTCAGGTGAAGTCAGGGAAGTTGCTTTGGTATCTCATGAAGGGCAGAAAAGCAGAGTGTCTGATCAGAATAGGTAAAATTTGTCATTCTGAAAATAGCCCATGCATTTGAGATGAGGAGCCCTACTTTGGCTTTTACTGTTAGTATGCTTTATAACAGCTACATGCCTGCCACTTCCCTGCAACCCAGATGAGCCTCACCTTCAGCTCTCACCTTCTCTCCTCCTTCCCTTCCCCATCTTTGCCCCACTTTACTTTGAACAGAAGGATCTGGGGTGACTTGATGTGCTGGGCTTTCCAGTGGTGTGACTCACTGAGAAGCTGATTGGCTTTGTCAGCAGCAGTAGATGTGCTCTGGGGAGTGTTTGCTGTGTCCTGCTGAGCCTGTTGCTGCAGATCCCCCCTACAGATGTCACAGCGGGTACCTGCTCAGCATGGATGGGTGCCACAGGTCTCTCATCTGAAGGAATAACATAAGCAAGCCTCCAGTGGTGCTAGTTTTCTCCTGAACAGCGAGGGGAAGAAGAAAACCAATGTCTCTTGGTAACTGGCCTTGTCCTCCATCTCAAATCTCAGCACATTCTTTTCCAGCAGGGTCTTTGGTGAGCTGTGGGGTGTGTGGGAGGGGCAGCTGGCAGGCTTCCTCTCACACATGCACAACAGAACACAGAGTGAGAATTCACAAATACAGGGAGGCAGTGGGAGAGTGGAGGGCAAGGAAGGGAAGTAGGTGTGCTTTGGAGAAGGTCAAAAGGCTCTTCAGTGGGGTGTCTGTGACACTGGGAGATGCTGGTAGGGAGGCTGTCGTGCAGCAATGGCACCAGCCAGGCACAGAGCGCAGCTTGCCAGGGGACCAGACCCCCTCCTTTGCACTCCATCATTACAGCTGCTGCTTTATGATGTT